CTGCCGCAAGCCCACACACCCCCCCCCCATGGCGCCCTCGCAATCCCTCCACCTCCCCCTCTCCAAGCGGGCGGCGGCGTGATTCGCGTGAGACGGGCTCATGTATGTCTCGGTCTGTCGAGCACAAAGTTGCGCCTCTGCATCGCGCACTCTCCCAAAATCCCGGAATTGGGCAGACCCGTTGCTGACCCTGGTCGCCACTATGGCTCATCATTCACGCGGCGTCCGTGGCAGCAGACCCAGCAGAACAGTCTCCACCGAGCAGCGGGGAGACAGACAGGAAAGACGTCGCAGGGCAGATCGCTTTTAGCCGCAACCCGCCGGCGTGCCATTGGATCTCCCTCCCCCCGTGCCCCTCTGGCAGATGAAGCTCTTCACGGCCTCAAGCCGAGAGCACTAAGCTGTTCGATTCGAGCCGTCCACACACCCTTGCAACAGCGTTGCAGGTGGTCTAGGCACACACCCGCTTCGCAATGCTACCTCCGCTCCTTCTTGCCGCATCCCCCCTCCTCCCAGTCCTTGGAGCTATGTGATATCTGGCATGTTGCTCCATATTGGCTGCCCGCCGCGTTACAGCGTGCGACACCTTGGCCCGCTGTGATTCGAAATCAAGCTGGCCTGCGAAACCTGCTCGCCATTGTTTGTCTCTCAATGGGCCCGGCCTCGACCTCTTTCTGGCGACGCCCCACGAAAACACCTGCCAGCTGGCCGCGAGAACGAGAGAGACAGGAAGAGGCGCGCAGAGACCACAAAAAAAGAGAGCTTCTGGCGGGCCCCGGGTATGCTTCCCAAAACTCACTGCTGCATGTGGTCCAGATAGAGGGAGAGTGTGTGGATGCCCTCCCCCTCCCAAAGACCACATGCGTCAGCTAGTCCGGCATTATCCTAGACACGATGCAAATAATTGAATCAACGGGTGGGTGGGTAGCTGGGTAGCTGGGTAGCTGGCGGGGGTGGATAGATGGATGGGCGAATAAATGAATCATCGAGCAGACATGATGCCACTACTGGATGAATGGATGGCTGAATGAAACAGTCCATCAAGTGAATGTATCAACAACATCACAGCACTGCCTGCACAACTACTCTACACAGTACTTACTACTTACATACTCAGCCGCCCGCCGCTCGCAGTCCCGGAAGCCGTCGTCCTTCACATGGCCTCGCCGCAGCCCACACGTCAGAATCTGGGGGTCCACGAACTAGCCGTCCGCCAAGCTCGGATCCACACATCACGCAGCGTCGTCTGCTGCACTTATCGCTGTCCTGGTCAAAATTTATGCTCCGAGCCGGCTACGCTTGACGGTTGGCGTGAGGCTTGCCAGTGAACAGGGTGCATGCGGGTCCGCCCCGGTCTGCATCCTGTCCTCTTCCCGGCCAGCCGTTGTTTTAATGCGTCTGAGCGCCTCTCCACCTTAACGTCGCCATTACTGAATTCAAGCAGCCCGGCGGCGATCTGGCTGCTGGCGATCCAGATACGTACAGGGTCGTCTACAAGGGGCTCTTCAACTATAAACCACTCATGCCGCCACACTAGAGGCAGTGCTGCATTCCTGACGTCCTGTCCAACTCTGCACCACGCCCGGACGCTCCCAGTCTGAAAAGAGCCTCCAAACTGAACACAAACGTGATCCAAATGCGGCTGCGTGCATCGTGTCCTGGTTCGGGCAAATAATAATACACGCATGTCCCAACCACCTCCTCTTCCTCCACCCCCGGCCCTCCCTCTACCACCCGCTTCTCAACCTCCTCCAGCCATGACTGAGACGCAGAAGCCTCCCGTCTTCTCCCCTCCAAGCTTTCTCGACTACTCCCATCGCCGCCTGCCCCCACTAGAGATTCCGCCAGATGCTGTACCACACCGGTCGGATCACCACTTCCGCTCCCCCATCAACCAGCTACCTTCGATCCACTCTGGACTGCCTCCTCGCAATGACTACCACCCACAGCCGCCCGCAACACATAGACCAGCGGCCGCGCCCGTTGACAAGTTGTTGCAGCCCTCCAATCCCTACACCCCACCCAGGTCCGATCCGCCATATTCTCCTCGGCAATACGGCCCTCCAATTTCGCCACATTCAGAATATGACAGCAGAGGCCCTCGAAGACTAGCTGAACAGCGGTATTCCTACGAGGAGCACCGTCCTTTTCAGCGCCGTCCACCGCATCCCGAGCAAGGAGGGTATTCGTCTCTTACTTCGCCAGTAGAACCATCGCACCAAAGGTCTTATCCTCCGCTTCCCTCACCTGCATATACTCCGAGCTATGCATCAAGTAGCACTGCATATCGCGGATCTGTTGGCTCCCTACAACACGCGCGATCCCAACGAGGCTCCATTGGAGGGCCTTTGGCCCCGGTTGCATATTCAGAGCCTTCGACCGCTGCTCCTCCACCCCCAAAACAAGTGCGCCCTATCCCATTACCAGGGTCCATACCACAACCCGTGTACAATGAACAACTGTAAGTACTCTTCTTACCCGGACACCAAAATGACGCCCAACTCACCAATCGCAGAAACCTCAACTATGAGCTCCGTGTCCGACAACAGCCCATTGCCGCACGAGCGTGCGGATTCGGCGAACGCGACCGAAGAGTCATTGACCCTCCACCCATCATCCAACTCTTAGTAACGGATCCGAAAACTGGTGCTGCTGAACAAGAAGAGCTACGCTACTCTCTCAACGTAGTCCACTGCACGCTTTGGAATGCAGAAGGCACCAACGAAGAAACAGCACTCATACAACCAGACCGACGAACGACACGGCGATTAATGGGCCAGCTCGTAGCCTCGCCATCCGTGGCAAAAGACGAGCACGATGTCGAGGGCTGTTTCTTTTGCTTCCCAGATCTTTCATGCCGCACCCATGGCAAATACCGGCTTCGGTTTGTGCTTATGCGCATTGACCCCATGAACCTGCACGTAGGAGGCTTCTCGCCAATTCTGACCGAAGTCTTGAGTGACGTTTTTACCGTCTATACAGCCAAAGATTTTCCCGGTATGCGGCCGAGCAGCGCTCTGACCAGGGCATTGAAGCTACAAGGCTGTAATATTCAAGTCAAAAAGGGAAACGAGAAGGCGCTTGCACGTAAGCGACTTACTGCGAGTCAAGAGCACGACAACGCAGAAGAAGAGGAGCTCAAGAGGCAGCGCAGGGAATAACGACCATTACCCATGCTATCTCTCAAATGACTGGCTTTTCGCATATTCTTCCTTTATATCGGGCGGCGCAGACAGGGTCATCAGGGGATATCTGAAGCATTTTTCGCAGATGCTGTTTTGCATTTTGACGACGTCACGAAATGACTGCATTTCTCACCGACAATTTTGATTCTGAATTCAACGGTTGGTGGGTTGTGCAGAATAGGGAGGGCGGAGGGTGAAATCTGGACGGCGTCGATACGGCGAACCTATTTTTTTCTTCTTCTGTACTTGCATTTGGGAATTCCAGCAATGAGAGAGCACGATACCATTCCATAGCACCTTATTCGCAGTCGATAGAAGTTTTGTTTCCAAGATGCCTGAATATCATTGTGCAAGCCAACAGAAAGTGAGGTGTTGTAGTTAGGGCTCAAGTGTGGCGCGCACAAAGAAAGGAAGGAGGGGGGGGGAACCACGCTATAAGCGTCGGCCCCACTAACAAAAGGCCCATGCGCCCGATTTTCTTTTCAAGTTTCACGCGCCTGAAATCTCGACTTTCTTTTCTTCCCTCCCCTTCCCCACAAGCAATTAAGGCACTGAAAGCAGCAATCATGAAATACGTGCTCGTGTCTGGCGGCGTCATCAGCGGCGTGGGGAAGGTAAGCTGCAGGTTGCCGCGCCTTTGATCACCACTAATGCGTAAAAATAGGGTATCATAGGTAAGCTCTGCTCAAAGATGTGCCACGAGCATGGCACCAAATTCTCAGAGACTGTATGACTCTCAAAGGAGCGGTTCAGTCTGTCCCAAGATATGGGCTTTTGAAATGCTATGCAATGGCTCTTTACAGAACTTGCGTAATTAAGCACACGACAGTAAATGTAGGCTAATTGATATATAACAGCATCGTCGACTGGCCTATTACTCAAAACTATTGGTCTTAAGATAAGTATAGCAGACCAGCACGTTTGCAAAGCGTACTGACGTCTCAGCACGTCTCGTCGATCAAGGTCGACCCATATCTCAATGTGGATGCGGGGACTATGAACCCCAAGGAGTACGACTCGTTGTGCCCGATTCTATACCAATGACTAAACGAAAAAACAGGCATGGTGAAGTCTTTGTCCTCTCCGACGGCGGTGAAGTCGACCTCGATCTCGGCAATTACGAACGCTACTTGAACATTACCCTAACACGCGATAACAATATCACCACTGGCAAGATTTACCAGCACGTCATTGAGCGCGAGCGCAAGGGCGACTATCTGGGTAAAACCGTACAAGTCGTCCCCCATATCACGGATGCCATTCAAGAATGGATCCAGAGGGTCGCGCGCATTCCCGTCGATGACTCCGGCGAGGAGCCTGACGTCTGTATAATTGAACTGGGTGGTACTGTTGGTGATATTGAGAGCATGCCCTTTGTCGAGGCTATGAGCCAGCTGAGGAGACGCGCGGGCAAGAACAATTTTATGCAGATCCACGTCTCGTACGTGCCTGTTATTCACGGAGAGCAAAAGACGAAGCCTACGCAACAGGCAATCAAGGCGGTGAGGAGTAATGGTCTGATTCCAGATTTGGTATGTATTTGGATCTTCAAAGGCACATCCTCTATGTATGTATGCCTAACAAATCCAGATTGCCTGCCGTTGCGAGCGCGAACTCGATGCCTCCGCTGTGGAGAAGATTGCCCATTTCTGCCAGGTTGAAAACGAGCAGGTCCTTGTTGTCAGGGACATGCCATCCATCTACCAAGTTCCCATGCTCCTCGAGCAGCAAAAACTGATTCCCATGGTTCGCCAGTTCCTTGCCCTTGAACAAGCCAACATATCTTCCCAGATGTTGCAAAAGGGCAACCACACCTGGGCACAATGGCAGTCGCTTACCGGTCATGACACGCGCTATCACGACCCTGTAACCATTGCCCTGGTTGGAAAGTACGTCGAGCTTCAAGACTCATATCTTTCCGTCATCAAGGCGTTGGAACACGCCACGATGCGGTGCAGGAAGAAGCTCGATATTCGGTGGGTTGACTCGGATCATTTGGAGCCAAAATGTCAACAATCAGATCCCGCCAAGTTTCACAACGCATGGCACGAGGTTGTCAAAGCCTCCGGTATTCTTGTCCCTGGAGGCTTTGGCCAGCGTGCCACCGAGGGTATGATTGCAGCAGCCACTTGGGCGCGCGAGAACAAAAAGCCCTACCTCGGCGTCTGCCTTGGTATGCAGATCGCCGTCATTGAGTATGCTCGCAATGTCTGTGGCATCAAGGACGCTACCTCGGAGGAGTTCAACGGCGAGGCTCAGAACAAGCTCATTATGTTCATGCCAGAGGTTGACAAGACAACCATGGGTGCATCCATGCGTCTGGGTCTTCGCCCAACGTTATTCCAGTCTGGCAGTGAGTGGTCTCGTCTTCGCGCTCTATATGCTGGTAAGAGCGAGATTCTGGAACGACACCGTCACCGCTATGAAGTCAACCCGGATTACATCGACACCCTTGAGAAGGGTGGCCTGAGCTTTGTTGGCAAGGACGAAGCTGGCGTCCGTATGGAGGTCATTGAAATCAAGGACCACCCTTGGTTCGTCGGTGTCCAGTTTCACCCAGAGTACCTTTCGCGTGTCCTGGATCCAAGCAGGCCCTACCTAGGCTTCGTTGCAGCCAGTGCAGGCATGCTGGAAGAAATTATACGCGATTACCAGAACGGCCCCAAGACTGATGATATCACAAACGGCGTAAATGGTCTCAAGGTCAGCAGTGTTTAGGTAGGGCATTGCAGCCGGAAAGACCAGGTCAATTAGTCATATCACTGGGAAATCGGGAAGTCAGGCGGCGGTCAATGCATCCGATGGTGCCAAGTCCGCTGCTCTGCATGGGCAAGTTACGATTTAACGAGGCGATTCTTCCTCATGTTTTGGAGTTAACGGACCATGGATTTTGACGTTCATTTGGCAGGGTTGGATAGGCTGGTTTTTGTGGTCATAGAAAGGCAACCCCTGATACTTGTACGAAGAAAAAAGAGGTGCATGATACCTAGAAGGAAAGTAGCTTCATATCAGTAGAGTATGACACAACGAAGGAATGAATGAGTGGCCTAGAAGATCTCATCTATGGCCAGTAACCATTTGGCGCTTCCGTTGTTCCACCAAGGGTGCATCAACCAACATCTCGTTACACTACATACCTATCTGCTTGCCGTGGTCATGTACAATAAAAAGAAAGAAATGAGAAGAAAAAAACATACAACAGCGGGGATTCGCCAGTGGTCACCCACCTGACTACTAGTCCGCCGGTCAAAGACTTAACGTGCGGAGAACGAACGGGATCCAGTGCTGTAGTTTGCCGATGGTCGTATGTGAAAGAAATGTAGATACAACTTTCTTATGTCCCAACCATCTCAAATCCACTAATCACATCAAACCACACTATTATCACGTGAGTGTCAATTCAATTCATTTCTTCATATACAGATAATGTCAAACCAGCGACGCAACCACGCTCTCCGCATCCCTCCTCGGCCCATAATTCCTCAGAAAATGGCCGACAGGGAAGCAATCCTCCACGCGCTCCATACCCATGATGCTACGCACAATGTAGCCCCTGCCCACGCGGATGGCGCGGATGTCGCTGCGGACCCATTGGATAGGCATCACGACGGCCATCATGTCGCCGAGGACGGACTCTTCCTCTGACGCAAGGGTCGTGAGCGGGTTGTCTGCGTCCCAGAAGGATGAAGTGGAATCCGAGGTGCGTTTTTTGTTGATGCGAGGTCTATTTGGGCAAGTAGGCGACTCCGAATCGGTGCCGCTGAAACTCGACATTTTGTACGCCTTGTTGTGTAGATTCTGGCGACTCGTCGGTACTGCACCATTTGCGCCGGACGTGGCGCCTGTGTATTTTGTCCAGAGGGCCTTGAGGCTGGGGAGGTTGACGGCGATGATTGCAGATTGGATTTCTAGGGCGCTGACGACGATCATGGTGCCGAGGATGTAGGAGGTGTCGAGGGAAGGGGAGGGGGAGCTGAGGCGCAGGAGGATGACGATGCGGCAGCAGGCTATGAGGACGGAGATGCCGCCGAAGCCGATGACGCAGAGGACGGCGATTTTGCGGCGCATGCGGATGTTTTTCAAGGCCCAAATGGTGGAGATGGGGAGGATTAGGATGTAGATGTCTACGAGGATGTTCTGGGGAGATGGTTGTTAGATGGGCTGGAGAGATGGAAAGGAGAACATGACTTACGAGAATGCAAGGGCCGAGGAGAAGTATCATCTTGTTGATGCATTGTGCATCAGAATGTGTGCCTGGGTGAAGTATTTCGTCAAATGGCATGCACTGGAAACATGCTACAAGGCTGACCTTTGATGTTAGACTTTGCGGGTGCTTAGAGGGCTGGTATGACTTACACACTGGCAATCCATACAACAGTGTTAAATGCCACTCCGAAATAGACGGCGTGTCGAAAAGTGTCGCTATCGGGGGATAGCCGAAGGTAAAATACGAGAAAAGCTAATTTGATCACCCAGTGAACAGAGTAGTAGAGGACTTCTTCGATAAATAACCACTGTTCTTTTGGTTAGAAATGAATTCTTTAGAAGCTCTTTCCTGATAATCCATTCTCACCTTGAGAATCTCGAGATGATGGTTCGTGTCCAGGGCTCCCATATGACTACACACTTTAGTTAGCACCATATATCAACGTGGCTTTCAGCCATCAAGGTATCTTACAGTCCACACCCCCAATATAAAAACATCTGCAGCACGCCCTGCTGTGCAAAACTAAAAACCTAAACACCATCCTCCACGTTAGCTCTCCGTCCCATCCAACTTCCCACCCGTAAACCTCGAATCAAAGACAAACGTACCAAAATAGCAACCGCAATATAATCATCCCACCCCCACGTTCTCAAAACAATATACCGACAGTAAAACCGCATCAGAATCGACAAAGTGCCCACAAAGAAGGTCGAATACGCAATCCCATACGCAAGCGGCTGGATACTGGTACCAAAGTCCATTGTCATCATCATCATCGCAAGGTGGCAGCGGCAGAGTCCAACACAAGTCGATGCCAAACCCAACCGACAAGGCGCATCTCTAATGCGAAAGGAAAGGTTTTCGGAAAGGAGTGGAAAGGTTGGGCTGGCCCGCAGTGAGAACAGGAGAAAAATCTTTTTGAGCGAGCTGCTGGGTAGACTTCATATTAAACAAACCCCCTTCCCTTGTTCTTCTTCTTCTACGACCTACTATTATTACTTTTTTTTTGACATCGGCACTGTTCCTGAGCTAGCACATGGCAGCAGGTCGCCGTTTGGCTGTGTGCGATCGCCCCGTGGTGGGTTTGGAACAAGCGTTCGTGGGCTTGAGACGGCAATGGCGTTGTGGGGACAAAGAAGCAAATTGTTTGCGTTTCCGATATGTCGGGAGAGGTGACTGATGGGTTTTGTTGTAATGCCGCGGACCCCCCCTTTCTTGGGAGCGTATATTGCTTTTTACCATCGCCGAGTATGTAGTTGTCTTGGGGAGTTTGGTAAGTATGAGCACTGGACTTGTGAGGTTTGTGTTTGAGCAGGATGTTTGTTTCGAAACTGTAGAGACGGGTCGCGGAACAAGTTGATGGATAAGAGATGGCAAGAAGGAATAGTTAGTTAGCGATTGTTTCCACAACATGTGCCAAATCGTCGAATCTGGAAACAAGAAGATGGAAATCGACGACTCGTACACTACTCGTCTTCTTACTAGATAATCCCTAGTTCGCAAACAACCACCGCCACCACATTACTCCATTCGCCCATCTCCTCCCGCAAAAAGCAACTCCTACCCGTGTTTGCATCTCGTTTCGCAATCCCACTGGTCGCCCTCACTCGCAACGTATGGGCAAAACAAAAGTTACACACAAATAATCCAACAAGGAGAAACATCCGCTGTTCCCCGGTCTTCGTCACGAAACTTCTCAGCGCAAGGTGATTTTTTTTCACCAACCCGATCGCACCAATACCGCAGCGATACTATCGAGGGAATGCTGAGCTGAGATTGCGAGACGGCCGGTCGAAAGCAAGGGTATAAATGTCAAACGGAACGTATTAAGGGTGATACAGGTCATGTGCGACGGGCATTGGTTTGGGTGAGGCAAACGGGGGGTCGGGGGTTGGGAGCCAGGATATATTTAGACGATGCGTGCGGTGGTACAAGTGATCGGGCGATGCAAGCAATCTATAGCGATTGATGAGGTGTTTTAGTTCAGCAGCGCAGACTGTGTGTTTGTCTACGCCAGCTCGAGATTTTATAGCATGTCACGTTACGGAAGATGCTGAGGACGAAATTGCATTACGACTAAAGCAGAGGCTATCAAAGCGTCTCATCGTTCATCTCTTCACTATACTAAACTCAAAGTACAAAAAAAGGGAACATATACGTGGTCTCATTAATCTCCTCAAACAAGCCGTCGGCCCTCAAACCCTCGAGATGTAGTTCTCAGTGATGACCTTGTCCGAATCCCCTTCTGAGCTCTGAATATGAATGTCCTTTTGGATCTTGATAGCACCAGCCTCTCCCGCTGACATCTGGTTCAACATACGCAGTGAAATTCCACCTTGTCGACACAGCTCCTCTTCAGACTCAGTAACAGTCAGCCCCTGATCCGTCCGCGCGACACTTCCCCTGTGGCTCTTCTTCGCCCACTTGCCTGCACGCAGCTCTCTGCCCTCTGAGCCAAACGTGATGATATGGCCCCGCGACGAGAGTCTATACCTTTTTTTGTTTGAGTCGCTGTCGCCTCCGGGACCTGAACCAGACGAACTGTCGCCCATCATCCGGGTCCACAGGGGCTTGAGACTCGGCAGGTTGACTGCGATGACGGCGCATTGAATCTCAAGTGCTGCAATGATAACCATCTTGCCGAGCACCCATGATGTATCTGGCGAGCGGAACAACTCAAACAAAGGTATAAGTCGGAAACAAGCAATGATGACGGAACTGCTGCCAAATGCTACGACGCCAATCACTCTAAGCTTGCGGCCTAGCGTCATTTGCAGGTGCCAGACTGTGTAGATAGGAAGAATGAGGATGTAGAAGTCTGCAAAGATGTTCTGTGTCGCTGTTTTTAGTACCATGTTATCTACATTTGGAAAGGGAAGAAGGACTTACGAGAACGGACGGCACGATAAGCATGGCGAGCCTGTTGATACAGACGGCATTTGGGTGCGTGCCTGGGTGGAGAATCTCATCGAACGGGACACACTGGAAACATGCCATGAGCCTGAATTTTGCGTTAACCAGACGTGAGTTATGTGTCAGCAGAAGGTGGACATACGTGTTTATGATCAGGATAGTACCGTTTATGGCGCCGCCAATGCAAATGGCGATACGAAAAGGTTTTCTGGTTGACAGGCGCAGGTAGAATAGGAGGAAAGCCGATTTGATTACCCAGTGTACTGAGTAGTACGCAACTTGTTCAATAAACAGCCACTATTTTTAGTTAGAACATTTCACCACTAATCTCATCTGAAGCTCGTACTTTGAGGATTTGAAGCTGCTGATGCGTGGTCAATGTTGCCATGCGTCTGTGTCTCCAGTCAGCAATTAGTCTGCGTTGAGCAAAGCAGGGGCAGTCATACAAGCCACATCCCCAGTACAGAAACATGTGCAGTATGACCTGTTGGCCAATGCTGAAGACCTGTAATTCTTGCCGTTAGCTGTGTCTCTGTCACAGGAGGACCCTACAAACCACGTACAAGAATTAGCACCGCGAAATGATCGTCCCATCCCCATAGGTGAAGAATGTAGCGTCGACAGTAAAAGCGAAGAAAGATGGAAATAGTACCAAATGCAAATGTAATGTAAGCAACAACATACGCCAGTGGTTGGAGGTTTGATAGTGCCATAGTCTTAAGATTGTGAGCTTTCAGACAGAAGTAGCCCACGACTCGAAGAGTGTGTATCGAGACACAGAATGGACGTCACAGACAAAGTTTATATTCACCAGAGCCCAATTGCAGGTTCTAAATTCATTCAGTCTTTGCTATGACGGTCGAGCCCTCGGGGAATGAAAGGGGCTTAGAAACCTCCTTGTCAGTGATCTGCCTTCTTCGATACCCGCGAACTCAGATCCATGAAATGCAAATGCATCAAAGCGTCCAGTAGTCTCAGGTTCTCGTACCAAGCCGTATGGCCGTTACGCGTTGCCCTCATTGGTGCTACGCACTGATATCGGAGTATTTGAGGAGCATACTCGAAACGGGATCTTCAGTATGCTGCCCAAAAACAGAGGTTCAACTTGACAGTTGACATGCATCAGCGTTTTTTGACGTCCACCAGGTTCTAGGATGTAGAGATTTGCGGCGTAATGGACGTACGCATTCGTAGGAACGATCTGCTGGGAACGGCTGTCATACAGGGAGACTTTCTAAGCCCCACTGTCTCGCTGGGATGTCTTATGCTGAGCCAGGCATAGCTCGATACAGTGTTTGCCCTTGGTGACTATTGTCTCCGAGCATCGATCGGAACTTTTTAAGCTGACCCCGCAGCAATTATTTTATGTCACCTGCGGCTTACCTGCGTATCCTTGCGCGGGTACAAACGCTACGCTTCCAGCCGTTGACAAGCCCTCAAAAACCCGAAATTGCTGACAAGCTCAACACCGTTTGCAAGGTTGAAACTGTTGGCATGCCTAAAACGGCCGACTCGGATCCGGATCCGGATAGACTTGAAGCGACGGGACGCAAACGACCACATGGAGATGTAAGAATTCTCAGTACCCACCAAACGATAAAATCCTCCATGTTGGAACCTGTATTTTGCCCGCCAATCAACAATAGGCGGCTAAACAGGTTTCTAGACGAGTGACATCGCTCGCTCGATCTTCGTACAATCTTGCATCTTTTTGAGTTTATTTGGGCGATATGAACGTTGTCTAGACCAAGATCATGATCGACGAGAAGTCGCGGACGAATTGCCGAGTTTGATACTGTTGTCCGGCTATTTGAGACGATATTGAGAAAGCATGTTGGGTAGACAACGGGACTTGGCATTGATGACGGGAAAGTTATAAATCAGCTCACATGCATCGGCGACTTCCCCGTCATTCCCGCCTCCCCGATCACTAAAGCTGCACCACAGTGTCGTAGCACAGAGCTGTGATAGGCATGATCTACTACTGCCCTCCGCAACTTCCACCCAGATCGGCAGCGGGGTTGGGACAGCCGTGTATACTTACTTACGCCAAGTGTCTGTCGAAGAGGTTACGCGTATCCTCCTCGGCATTTATGCGAACGGCTATTTGACTTTCTTGACCAAATGTTATGGAGATAGATGGCGATAAGAGCCCGGCCGGTGCGATAGGGGGCATGTACGTGATTTAAGTTGTTCCTAGGTATTAGTTATATACAAGTAAGTACTTCCAGTGGTCATGGCCTAGCTACTTCAAGTAGAGGTAGCAAATAGAAAGGCTATAATTACCTATATTATAGTACTAATCGAGGTGCTGCCGCTTCAGGCGATCCGACATGTCCGGGGTCCTGCTCCCTGCTTCAGTCGGTCCTTAACAAAACTTAGATACCCCGCAGGACTGTTCTCTGCCGGGGATGCGTGTGCGACAGTTGCATCATCTTTACCAAGAGGAACCTAGTCTGTCGAATCCGTGTAAGGATCCACCCTAGGCGTTTGCATATATGGAACATTGGTAGATATTGGTAAGTCTTACATGCGGGTGCAATGCTGCTCGTATTCAAGGTCGCACAGCGCTGCTCTTTCTTTTTAGTTATCAGGGAACGCAGCCCCAGACCATCAATCCTCAGAGCATTTCCAAAATCCCTTTGTTCCTCAGTCTTGTTAGCGTAGCCGCCCTTTGAGAGCTCTGGTAGCCGCAATGGAAGTAATTCAGGATGCTGCACATAATGTTGCCCAAGTAGATGCGTTTCAGGGTGCTTTGGCAGTAGCCCTATTCGGCGTCGTTTTCCATCTTTGTATTCTTCCCATCGAGTTCGAGCTCATCATGGTCCATTTCATAGCAGCCTCTATGGTCACCTTTTTCGGCATGATATATGTGTTCGGAATATTGAAGGCTCTGCTGTTCACCGCAAGCTTCAACACTGCATTGCTAACCACCATCACGATCTATCGATTAGTGTTCCACCGGTGCCGAAAATTCCCTGGGCCAGTTGCTGCTAAAGTGTCAAAGTTCCACGCAGCATGGCTCGCGGCAAAGAACGTCCAGTATTACAAGGATCTGGAGAAGATGCACAAGCAATATGGTGACTTTGTGCGCACTGGTGAGTAGTCGTGTACTCGAAAATTCAAGAATGGACGCTTGCTGATACGACCCCTAGGGCCGCGAGAGATTAGTGTTCTACGCAGCTCAGCAGTTCCGATCCTGTATGGACCCGGTTCGGAGTGCCTGAAGTCAACATGGTATGGCCAAACTGGAAATGATCACCGAAAATGTTCGATCCATATGACACGCGACTTCAATGCCCATCGTCTTCGCCGTCGTGCATGGGACCGTGGCTTCTCTATCAAAGGTTTGTACAGGCCCACGAGGTATAGTGGTTTGTGCTGACGTTGAATAGCACTGAACACATACGAGCCACGTATCAAAGCCAAGGCAGACTTATTCAAGAGCCAGCTAGCCAACAAAGGAGAGGCATCCATGGATGCCTCAGCCTGGTCAATGTTCTTCAGTTTCGATGTTATGGGCGATGTTGGCTTTGGAAAAGACTTCAACAACCTCAAAAGTGGTGTCGAACATGTTGCCATCAGAGGCGTACATGAACACATGACCATGTTGGGGATAATGAGCCCCGTACCGTGGTTGTTGTATATCTTGAGTTCAATACCTGGAGCGACGGCGGGTTATATCGATTTCTTCTCCTTTTGTGCAGGTCAAATTAGGGAAAAAAATCAGGTACGTTTCTCATAGCTGTACTGTGTGGAGCTGGTGGATTGATAAACTGTAGACTTGGGATAGCGAAAAGTACCCGCAAGATGTGGTATCTTGGTTGCTGAAAGCCATCAGGGAAAAGGATGCTACAGCGCCCCAAAGCGCAGCCGCACTCGAGGATGATTCAAGAGTGATGATCATTGCCGGCAGGTAAGAAATTCTCAGTCAAAAAAATGACAGCAGCAGCTGACGCAATAGTAGTGAGACGACTGCCACCACACTTGCAGGAGCTCTCTTCTTCCTCGCCAAGTATCCCGAGAAACAGAAAAAACTTCAACAACTCCTTGACCAGACAATGCCAAGCGGATACAACGAGTGGTCATATGAAAAAGTAAAATCGGTTTCCTATATCGACGACTTCATCAGTGAGACACTGCGACTTCGACCTGCGTTGTTGACTGGCGGAGCGCGAGAAACACCGGCAAAGGGCATTATGGTAGACAGTACATTTATTCCTGGCAAGACAAACGTTGTCATACCAATATCGCTTATTCAAAGGGATCCCAGATGGTGGCAGCAGGCCGAAGACTTTATTCCCGAGCGGTTCGGCGAAAAGAGGGCGGAGATGGAAACTGACAAAGCACCATACCTACCTTTTTCTTTGGGTGAGTGCCTCGATGCAATGATGACAGTGTTCTAGAAGCCGGTCAACTAACACACCCAAAGGTGCGTACAGCTGCCCCGGAAGGAACCTGGCTCAGATGAGCTTGCGCATCTCGCTTTCCATGGTTGCGCAGAATTTCGACGTGTCGTTTGCACTCGGCGAGACAGGAGAAGCTTTCGAAAATGAGATGTTGGATACGTTTACTGTAACACTGCCACCCCTTCAATTACGGTTCACTCCGCGGAAGAAGGCTTGAATATGCGGGGAGTGCATATAGGTTCCGAACATTTCTTGCGGACGTACTCAGCTTAGGGGATATTAACGTGATTAGACGGTTGAGTCGAGTGAAAATTCCTGCTAATTGAAGCAATTCATGTGCATCTTGTGATTGCTCTGCAGATGAGTACAGGGAGCACGAGAGCTCAAGAGGCGGTCAGAGGTGACTACGGGCTCCGAGGAGTTTCTGGATTTAACTTTTGAGCGGTTGCGACAAACAGATGCCGACAAGGCCACTGTATATGTATGTACACATGTACATGTGGGGATGCTTCATTAGCTTGTACAATTATTCAACATGTGTTTTCAAGAGCAAATTTCATGCTGGGCTGCAGTGTAATGAGTGGCCATGATCAGATGTGCATCGGTGCGTACTGGTATATGTATAGCAATAACGGTTGACCGTTGATCGTGGACTTGCTCTGCAAGCCGTTGCGCACACTGGGCGGTGGGTAAGCCAGATACCGCACACCCTCAGAGACAGGACGTTGGCCTTGTGACGATGCGGACATGGATGGGGTCGCATCAAGCTGCAAGATCGACGCGGGATGACTTCGACGTGCGACGGCCCGCTCTGCACCACACTCGCCACAGTGGAACGCGTCAGAATTTTGACATGTGACAGCAGTGAGAGCAACAGTGGAGATGGCAATAAGGGATGAGAAGGCAACAGGACAGTGACATCGTGGGGTCTTGGTCGCAAGCAGCGGCTAGGCAAGAGGACAAGTGTTGAGGGTCCGTTGACGATGCTCATGCGCCGCTGGAGGCATAGTGTCAGTGCATTCAATATGGATCCAGTACACGGGCGGCAGAAGTGCACCGGGGTCCTGGAAGCCATTGGCTGTGATAGGCCAAGGAGCCGATGGTTCTCCGTGCATGGCGGCTAGCCGTGAGTCGAGCTGCGAGCTTGTGGCTGCACGAACGGTCGCGTGGCCCAAGAGTCGGTCGCATCCAAGGGTGGCCAGGTCGTAATTATGCAGGGCGCAAAGCATGGTTGTCGCGGGCCTGAATTTAAGGGAGTTGGAGGACAGTTGAGGACAACGAGGAGGATGACAGCGACGAAGCTGCGTGCTGAACTGTCACCACTCTGGCTAATGTACCCATGTCCATTGCCCAGCCACTGCCACGCCCCTGGCCCATAGCAGCATGTAGGCATAATGGCCCTTGGCAGTCAATTTCCCGTGCGAAGCGCTGGGTGCATGAAGCGGCGGAGGGCGTGATTGGGTGCATGGCTGATGAACGGCCTCACTCTTTGAGATGGGCAGCGTGGAGAAGAATTGAATTTGGGTCTGGCCATGGACTCAACTAGAGCAATTGCAGACTAGGGGCGAATGGGGGAGGCAAAGGCCGCGAGCAGTGGGCCCCCCGTGAAGAGAGACCCTGGTCGTGGTTGGCTGCTCGGGTGTTGGAGCATGAGCTGGGCGGCTCAGCCATGAGCGCAATGGGAAAAGCAAATAGGGCGATAAACTGCAGCCAGCCGAGGGGTGGCACAAAGGGCAGCAGGTTAACAGGCGAGCGAGGGCGTGGGAGTGAATTGGCGGTTGCTGTGGAGCTTTGGCGCTGATGACGGTGAAAGACGGCGTCCTCATTTCCGCCCGCGTTAGTGTTAGCGAACCAGCCTCATCCCAAGTAGCGGATCCAAGCTCTCCATCGCCCTTTCCCTCCTCGAACGCCCTCGACGAGATAGCGACTTCCCCAGCTGCGCGACGACCGTGACTGCGCCTTCCATCTCGAGCCTTAACGAGCTGATCGAGCAGTTGCGACCGGCCCCCGTTGTTGCCACGAGCAAGCAGCGGCCCACGACAGCGACGACAGCGAGAGCGCACCCCAGGCCGCCCTCAGCTACGTACGTCCGTCTCTCCCAACCACGCACGAGGTCCTCCCCCCCACACACGACACGACGACGCTCCAGGCACCTCTCGCTCCGCTCTCGCCCTCCTCTCCTTCCCGTCCCTCTCTCCATCTCTACCCTCCCCTTTGGCCCCCCGCGCGCCCCCTCTGCCTGAGGCTGTCGACGCGCTGAAAACCATGAGCGCCGAACCCGCGCAGCCCTCTGCTGACGCATCCGCCGCCAACGGTACGTTCTTGACCTGGCCCAGGGCTCACACCGCCCAATCTCCCTCGGACGCGACCGCTAACCTTGACCAAGCTGCCATCGCCTCGAATTCCCTGCTCAGCGTGCCCCAGTCCGGCCCCCAGTCCAGCGACAACCACACGCCCAACACCGGCCTCAGCGGCGCAACCACTGCAGCAGACGCTGAGAGCATAGGACGCGGCTCCAAGCGAAGCCTCATGGGCAAACGACGAGCCGGCAGCACGGCAAGCAGCAAGCGCTCTCAGTCACGTGCCGCCCCATCAGAGAAGACCGAGCAGCCGCCCCCGCTGCCCGCGATGGCCGACCGCCCTGCATCGACGAGGAGTAAGACGCGCAAGGGCGGCTTGCTGTCGTGCCTGCCTTGCTTTGCACCCAAGGAGTCTCGCCTCGCCGGCGACTCGGCCCCTACGGAGAATGTCAAGCAGGCCCAGAAGGTGCCTGCGGGGCGTACATCGCAGTCGACGCCCGTCAAAAAGCAGGAGCCGACCATCGCCGAGTCTAGTAAAACCGACTCCAAGGAACCCTTCGACGAAAAGACTGGAACTGAGACATTGGGTTCGAGTCTTGGCGACAAGCCCAGTCAAGGCGACGGGACAACCGAGCAGCCGTCAGTCGAGGATAGTCCCCAGGTGGTGACGAGAAGCCCATCTCAGAGACAGCAAACGGAAGCAACCTCGCCTCCTCAGCCCGGCATATTACAAACTGGTCATCCTCAGATAAGCATCACCAACCCCACGCCCGCCGCCACACCAGTCTTGCCCCGCCCGTCCGCCGAACAGCAGCGTATAATAGAAGACCAGACCGAAGAGCAGAAGCAGATTGACAGCGACATTGAAATGCGAGATGTGCCGCTTGCACCTAACGATGTTCCGCACGAGGCCGACGCAGCCGACGCTGACGCTGAACCCGAACATCCCAAGGTCGACTTGCCTCCCCCACCACCACTAGCTGAGAGACAGGTGGCTGTGCAGGAGCAGGTTGCGGATGCGGGTGAGGCGCCAGAGGAGCAAAAGTACCTTTTGGGACCCATTGCACCCAGGTTCCAGGGGAAAAAGTGTTTAGTTCTCGATCTCGACGAGACTCTGGTCCACAGCAGCTTCAAGGTATGTTGTCATGATCACGGTATTTGCTCCTATTTATTTACTGATTTGATGTAGATTCTGCACCAAGCAGACTTCACAATTCCCGTGGAGATTGAAGGCCAATACCACAATGTTTATGTCATAAAGCGACCGGGCGTGGACCAATTCATGAAGCGAGTGGGCGAACTATACGAAGTGGTGGTTTTTACAGCATCTGTTTCCAAAGTACGTGGCTGCATTGTTTGTTCCGGCAATTCCGCTAACAAGAGTAGTATGGTGATCCCCTCCTTGATCAGCTCGACATCCACGGCGTTGTTCACCACCGACTTTTCCGCGAAAGCTGCTACAACCACCAGGGCAACTATGTAAAGGTGAGAATATGAGCCCAAAGTCAGGTCCCAATCAAACGCTAATGCCTGTGCGCAGGATCTCTCGCAGATTGGCCGCGACCTCAAGGATACCATTATTATTGACAACTCGCCCACTTCCTACATCTTCCATCCGCAACACGCCGTCCCCATCAGCAGCTGGTTCTCTGACGCACACGACAACGAACTCCTCGACTTGATACCGGTGCTTGAGGATCTCGCTGGTCAGCAAGTCAGCGACGTCAGTCTGGTGCTTGACGTGGCTTTGTAAGCATGCTCGAGACGATCATTACGAAAGAGGATACCCTTTGCGCATACCCTTCTCATCGCGCCGACATAATCACTTTACTTCGGGCGCAAACCGTAGGAAGCAACACCCCTACCTATTCCACTCTGTACCTTGTAATCAGCTTTTAATCTGCATAAAAAGCGGCTCAGTGCGTGACGGCTGTACAAGCTGCCGTGCAAGACCGTGCTAGAGTGTCACATTGCACGCCCCATTTTTTCCACCACCGCACGCGCATGTTCTGGGGCGATACATCTCGACCACACCATTTCCAGCCATTGACACTAGGCTGGCGTACACTACCTCGACTTTTGCGCACAAAAAACAGGAGGACCGGCGCACAACGGCGTCCCTTTGGCTTCAAGAGCCACGAAAATCCACAGTAATATTGGCACATACCCCCCCTTTTTTTCCAGCATATGCGACGCCTGGCCTCTTTGAGGTCTTGTAGTATCTACTATCAGTACCATCTCCTTTGTACGTTTTGTGTTATTCTTTTCTTGGTTCTGCATTGCTGGCGGGAACAGGCAAGGTCTATTCATCCCCACGACTGGAGCGTGCTTTGATGCCCCTCGTAACTCTCAGCTTTTGTTTTTCCTCCTGTTTTTGTATGGCGAGGCTGAAGTGCAAGGTGCCTGCAGACGCATCCAGATGCCAGTAGGGGCCGTAGAAGTTCAGATAGTCAACAATACCCCTTCTATTTGTCAACCCAGAAATTGCCTGCCGCAGCATTGCGCCATGTTTATCGTGAACCATGTGAGAGCTAGGGCTTGCACATGCAATGATGACGTTGGATGCTGGATGGCACCCTAGGTTTGGCATTCACATGCTGCCCGCCGCCGTTGGAGCGTGTGCACAGCCACTCATCACGCGTCCCGCCAAAAGTGACACACGATGCTACACCTACTAGTTGAATGTACCTACACCTAGCCTAAAGACGATATTGTAGTAGCAGCTTTGTCGCCACACTGACGAGGTCCGGAGCGGGAGGCTTTTCGGGTATTTAGTCCGTCACAAAACACGACAGAGTAGGTTTGGCCTCGTTTGTTTGCTGCTCTGCTCCACCGCGGCTGCGTCGTCGCTTGGCCTACTCGTCGCTGTGCCCAGTCCCTCTTCCTCTTCTCCAATATACCACTCTCAGTCTTGGTGGTGCATGGCTTGGTGATACAACGCCCACACTCGTCTTCCTGTCTGTATCTTGTTACCTTCCTCTCGCCATGGAAAAATACAGCCAATTTCGCGACAAAGGTGCGTCTACAGAATCCACGCACTCGAACGTCAACACTACCACTACTACCCAATTCTCCTCCAAGTAGTTCTTGTTGCTCTAGCGGCAGACATTAATTCCAGATTTACCTGCTCACACTTCGGCACAGGCACTGCAATTGCGCCTTTCCTCCCCGTGCCACCCCCGCCGGTCGGCATCCTCTGGCATCCGATATACCTCTTCCTCTTCTGCGTCCGCACGCCTTTCGTCATTGCCTTTTCACTTTTGTACTTCTTTGGCCTCGAGTTCACACCTGTGGGCAGAAGGCTGAAATATGTGGTACTGTGGCTGATGCTAGGAATTCTGGGAGTGTGGTGGGTGGACTTGCAGGTTGATGGGGTCAAGAGAGGGTACGTTCACTTCTGTGCAAAGGATTGAAGTTTACAGGAAGGCCTCATAGTTTCGGGGACATTTGAGCTGACAAACATGGCAGACAACTAAACTCAGCCAAAAACCATCTGCCTAAGGCTGGCACCATTGTCGCTTCATCCTTTACTTCGCCTCTCGACCCGCTCTACCTTGCGGGCATCTTCCAGCCAATCTTCACAAAGTCCTATCCGCACCTCCGCAAGGTCGAGCGCATAACCCTTTTCCGCGCCATCTTGCTTGCCTTCTCGCCGCCTTCCTTGAGTCCACACGATCCGTCCAAGCTCGTCACGCTCAAACAACTCATTAGCGAAAACCCCGACAGGATCATATGTGTCTTCCCAGAGACTACTACAACAAACGGAAGGGGCATTATACCGCTGTGTCCTAGTCTGCTAAGCGCCGATGGTAAAACCAAAATCTATCCTGTCAACCTCAGGTACACACCGCAGGATGTGACCACCCCTGTTCCTGGTGGTTATTTCTCTTGGTTCTGGCGTCTTCTCAGCAAGCCATCGCACCAAATGCGTGTCCGTATCGCCTCGCGTGTGTATAATAGCACAAATCAAGACTCTCCAGCAAAAGCAACATCGGATTTGCATAAGAGCAAGGCAACGGCTAGTGGCTATGACGCAAACATTTTTGAACACCCCGATTTCAAAGACGGATTCATTGGGACAAATGGCGGGGTTGGAGATGGCATGGATGTTGATGCTGGTGGTGCCGATAACGGCCATGAAATCAGTCCTGAAGAACAAAAGGTGCTCGAGCGGGTTGCTGAGGATCTTGCGCGCTTAGGTAGAGTAAAGAGGGTGGGTCTAGGTGTTGAAACGAAGGTTGAGTTTCTGAAGGTGTGGGGTAGTCGAAGGAGATGAAGAGACCAGTCATCACCTGGTGAACGGGTAATTTATTCTAAATATCCGATGTATAGTGATATGTGGATTAGATCGAGCTTGGTAGCGTTGTACTTGCACATCACAGTTCTAATATCATCAACATGTTAGTATTTTAGTATTATGTCCTTCGGCGATGCTTGCGCTGTTGAAGCTTCACCAGAACGCCAAGGATTGTCTTAAATTTTGAAGTCGTGGCAGCGATAGGGATAGGTATGAGACAAGAGGTGGGGCGATGCTTGCTTTGAGATTCACAGCCGATAGTCAGACATATCTGAATACTAACTGTCTGGTGAAACGACGGCATTCGTCATCGTGCTGGACCCTTGCTTAGGCAGAGTTTAGCTAGTGACCTAGCCACCTACGAAGTAAGTACATTACTTGCATACTCAACTCCACACTAGGAACACCGCCTTCCAGAACATACCGTTATTGCTCAAAATCTCAGCCTTTGTTGCCAACACTCGACTCGCACCATACAACTAACGTCGCCCTCTCTTCCTCTCTACGTCCAGTGTATGATGGCTGAGCCAAATTCTGCCCCGCATGCCGAAAGCGACCCCGCAACCACGGCCAACGCGAAGGAGACGCATGATCAGGACACGGATGAGCAGAAACCGCGAGATAGTAACGGCTGGGACGGAAAGCTACGAGTAGACAGGATGACGCTCACCGACGAGCCAAGAGATCCACACGCGCAAATATTGAGTGATCCAGAGGTATCAGATGATGAAGGACCCCCGCCAGAACAGCTGGCTGCAGACGAAGACCTGTTGGACGATGTGCCAGACGATGAAGAAGAGATCGAGCTAGTGCACTGCAAGGTTTCGGATATGTCGTCATTGCGACTAGAGAGGTTCAAGCAGATGAAGGTATGTCGCTCTTGGGGTGGGACACGAACGAGACGGTCTAACATCGCAGCGTCTTTGCCTTCGCCAAAACCGAATAGAAAGTATTGCGATACCAGAAGAACTCGCATCAAGCCTTACAGAAGTCGACCTTTATGATAACCTTATTGCGCACATCAAGGGCCTCGATGCCTTTACTGAACTCACGTCGCTCGACCTGTCCTTCAACAAGATCAAGCACATTAAGCGGCTAAACCACATGACGAAGCTCAAGGATCTATATTTTGTACAGAACAAGATTGGCACCATAGAGAACTTGGAAGGGCTCACCAATTTGCGACAGATTGAGCTGGGTGCAAACAGGGTACGGGAGATTCAGGGTTTGGAGACACTGACTGGACTGGAAGAGTTGTGGTTGGGAAAAAACAAGATTACCGAGATCAAGGGCTTGGATACGCTTACGAACCTCAAGATTTTGAGCATACAGTCGAATCGGCTGCGGTCTATTACAGGGTTGGAGAAGCTCGTCAACTTGGAAGAATTGCACATCTCGCACAATCTTCTTACAGAAGTATCGGGGCTAGAGAACAACGTCAATCTCAATGTCATTGACATCAGCGCGAATCCCATTGAGCACCTTGGAGGACTCAAGAGTCTGAAGCACCTTACCGAGTTTTGGGCAAGCAACTGCAAACTGAGCGACTTTGGTGAGATTGAACGAGAGCTGAGAGACAAGGAGGAATTGGAAACGGTGTATTTCGAGGGAAACCCTCTGCAACGGGCGCAGCCAGCCTTGTACAGGAACAAGATCCGACTTGCGCTACCACAGGTTGTGCAGATTGATGCCAGTAAGTTTTGCTCGTTCCGTGTGTTTCTAGGACTCTAGACGACTAACATTATAAAAGCGTTTGTGAAGCAGGTATAGCATACTCCAAGGCGGCAGCGTAGACGACTCTGGGTTTCTATGGTCATGCAGGCGTATTTACTTGGACGGGCTGTTCTTCCGCACGCAAAGTACATAGATGGTAGGCATATCATGGACATTGGCATTAGCACGGCGCGTTGGCGTTGGGCAAAATTATTTGATAGCGTACATAGTATACGGTGGGGATACCCAATGAATGAGCGAACGGATGAATGGATGATTGAGCCTGGTTGCCCTGCCGAACGTCATGCAGGCTCGCTGGTTGTACAGTTTGACAGAGAGTACCGGCGCTAAAGCCGAGGCGGGTCTAGCGTGTGTTTACGGGGAAGGTGGGTCGCGCCTTCTATGTTTACCGTCCGAGCGCAACCCAAACACTGGATATCACACTCCCGCAACATCACCGCAACATCACTGCAACCGCCTCTGGACGCGCCAGTGCTGTTGACCGCGACGGAGCATGCTTTGTTAATATCCTTCTTTCGTTGGACTTTGCCACGCATCACACTATGGAGACCGCCAACGAGAACGCTGTGGGTATCCCTAGAGCCATCCCCTGGCCCGTTCATGTCTAATCTAACGCATTCTAAGGGTAGCACCAAACGCTCAGGAATCAAGCCGCCATCGACATTCTCCCACATCCCATCTTCACCCACTCGCGCCCTTGGTGAATTGCACGAGTCCACTACCAACGTGCGCAGCGCAATGCCCATACCTACCGCAAAGCACAAGCCCTCTGGCTGTACTCTACCCCTCGCCACACCCCCCAGAGGCACACCCTTTGCTGACCACCACAGTACCCGAGCCGGCCTTCAAGCAACGGAGGACACTGGCTGAGCAAGCCCCCGAGCCCGCCTCGCGAAGGCTACCCGCACCCTCCAAGATCGCCAATGGTGTCAAGTCCGCTGTCGCTCGCAGCATGGCGGCCTCGACCTCGCGCGCAATGCCCAAATCGACAGTCAAGAACACATCCGTATCTGCCTACGCAAGCAGCGTCGGCGCTGTTCCCAGACCCGCCCCAACCACGAGGCCGAAATCGGCCTATGGCCAAAGTACACACATTAGGAGCAAGTCCTACCACCAGGGATCTCGCCCTGCGACGTCAATGATGAATCGACCAGATGATGACGACAGTGAACAAGCAGAGCGCAAAGGTGTGCAACAATTTCTTATCTCTTCAAGCCCATTCGCCCATGTCACAGTATCTAGAGGGATTTTTTCAGTCCCTAAGCAGCGCACAACTTCCCTATATGATTTCCAAGTACAGTCTGTTCGTGTGCCAGAGTCCCGAACAGTCTCTTCTCCACCCACCTTTCGCCCCGTCACTCCGGTCATTGAAGAGCCCGTCGTGACCGACTGCGATGACATCTGCACTGAACTTGGAGCGCTCAATCTAGTCGCATCCAAGGCAGAGAGGCATGAAAGTCGGACCGGACGCGGAATGGCTTCTGACAACGGATCGAGCTCCTTTCTTAAGCCAAAACTTCCTTTATCACAACTCCCTCAGCCAGTGCAGACACCTGTGCAGCGGCGACAGCAGCAGCAACAGATAGATCAATCACCCTACCGGCCCATGTCAATCACACCGAGGCGATTACAACCAGCGCCATTTTTAAACCGTTTTACTAACGATCGTTGTCCAGATTTCTACAATGAGCGAATGGAGGCTATGGAACGTGACTTCCGCTCCTTCAAGGAGAAAATGGAGATGGATGTGCGACAAGCCACTGACTACAAGGAATCAATCCAGCAGCTCCAAGGCCGAGTCACCGAGCTCGAAACCATCCGCGCGCGCCTGGAGATTGTGAACAAGGGGCTCGAGACAGAACTCAACGATAGCCGTACCAGTCTCAAATCAGTCAAGATGGAACTGGAAATGGCCCAGCAGAAACACACATATGAAGTTGATGACGTACGACGGAGGTTGCGCAACGAAGTTGAAGACTTGGAATCGCGACACCGAAAAGACACAGACCGGTTGGAACGGGAACGAGACGAGGTAGAGAGAAAGACACGCATGGAATTCGAGGCACGGATCGACAAGTTATTGAAAGAGCACGAGGAGGAGATTCAAGTGTTGCGCAAGAAGCTCGACTCGGACTCTGAAGCGGAGCGGAGCAGGCGCGCACAAGAGGCCCAAAAGATTGAGGAAGAGTATGCTTCCAAACTCCGAGCTGCCGCTCTAGATGCAGATGTCAAGCAACGCGAAGCACAGCTCCTGCAAGGCGAGCTCACCAACGTCAAGTCAGAACTCGATCGCGAAAGAACCCTCAAGACTGGCCTCCAGAACCAACTAACAGAAGCAACAACACACAATCTTACGCTGGAGGCAGCGAACAAGGCTATGAAAGAGAAGATTAACTTTCTCGAGTCTGACAGTCAGGCGCAGTCGTCTGCCTTCAACGACCTTCACAAGAGAATGCAAGATGCCATTGAGGCTGCGGAAAGAGCACACGACAAACTCCGACAAGAAGAGACATTGCGCCGGAAGCTCTTCAACCAAGTCCAGGAGCTCAAGGGCAACATCCGGGTTATGTGCCGTGTGCGGCCAGCGCATGCTACCGAGAGGGACCCGGCGCAGATTTCCTTCCCCGATAACGACACCGACAGCAAGGAAGTTGCCATCACCGGTCCAAGCAAGCAGAGCGCAACTGGCAAGGACATTACTGCCTCATACTCGTACTCGTTTGATCGTGTGTTCGGACCGATGTCCCAGAACGGAGAGGTTTTCGAGGAGATTAGCCAGCTTGTACAGAGCGCTCTCGATGGCTACAACGTGTGCATCTTCTGTTACGGTCAGACTGGATCTGGAAAGACACACACCATGTCATCAGCTGATGGTATGATCCCGCGTGCCACCGCTCAGATTTGGGATGAAGCGCAGCGGCTGCAAGAAAAAGGCTGGCGATACACAATGGAGGGTTCGTTCATCGAAGTCTACAACGAAACGTACAATGACCTGCTTGGTCGGTCAGAAGACCTGGATAAGAAAAAGGTCGAAGTTCGACACGACCCTGTGAAGAAGCAGACTAACCTGGACAACGCCGTGAGTGTGATGTTGGATGGCCCTGGCCGTGTCGAGGAGATTCTTGAAACGGCCAGCAAGAACAGGACTGTGGCTGCTACAAAAGCCAATATGCGATCGAGCCGAAGTCACTCGGTCTTCATTCTGAGGCTCGTTGGCACCAACGAGATTACGGGTGAACGGAGCGAGGGAACACTCAACCTAGTCGACCTTGCAGGATCTGAGCGACTCGAGCACTCCAAGGTCGAAGGCGCACGCCTAAAAGAAACACAGAACATCAACAAGAGTCTGAGCTGTCTGGGCGACGTAATCAACGCTCTCGGCTCAGCAAAAGAAGGCGGTCACATTCCGTACAGAAACTCAAAGGTATGTGTGGGAGATTATATTATTTACGTTGCAATCTTTTTTTTTTGGTACTGACGCTAACGAACTACCTCAGCTTACCTATCTCCTCCAATACTCGCTCGGCGGCAACTCCAAGACTCTCATGTTTGTCATGGTTAGCCCGCTCCAGGCACATCTGCAGGAAACGATTACCAGTCTCAAGTTTGCGACAAAGGTGCACAATACGCATATTGGTACTGCGAAGAAGCAGACTAAGACTTCGTGAGAGAGAGGCTCTTGATGAATTTGTCCCTTTTTTGGTTTTTGGTTTTTTTTGGGCGTGTGAACAATGGGCTGGAGTAATGGAGATTTCCCCCACTTTTGGGTCGGGTTGGGTTTGGGATGAAATGACAACGCGTGGAAAGCAGGGTGGTTTTATACACATATTTTCCCATGTCTTCTTGGCTTTGCTGACTGGCTGGCTGTTTACTTACTAGCTTTCAAGTTGGCCAAGTAAACGCAGAGCGACTTTTGAAGTGTTCAGGTCGTTGTAGGGGTTCTTTTTTCTCTCTCGTTATTTCTTCATCTTTTTCTTGTTTAACTTTACCCTATTCAGAGTTTGTTTTTTTCCATTTTCTGGCTTTCTTTTATAACAAAAGTCCTTGGCTGGACACTACTTGCAATGTACATAAGTAGTGGCAGTTCATGGGCGAGTCTGCAGAGTAGAATGACGCTTGTTTTTTTGATTGTTTTGTATTTGATGTGTCTCTTTTGCAAGTTGTTCGATACCCTTTACTTGTATTCAAGACATGTCACCGACCATTGTTCAACCGAAATATAGACAAAGAGGTATGAATCAAAAGAGATGAAGTGTATACATATAACTCAATCAAGACCATGGCGCTAACCCAGACACCTTGCTAGCAAAAGCCCGGTTTCGACAAACGGGCCAAAAACGAACAAATTAAGTACGCATACACAAGAGCAGTCTCGCTTGATCATCATACAAACTCCTGCTTTTGCCCTGTCCATGCTTGCTCTCTCTCCCCCTCCTTCCTTAATCAGACAGATGCCACAGCGATACGCACGCTCCTTCAACTGCATCTATCCAAACAATGACATCTTCCACGCCGAACCAATGTGCTGACTAGATACAGGTAATCCTTGCTAAGCACTACTACTAGTAATCGTTGAGGCTAATCACCCAAGGTTTCGCATCTTGAAATCAAGATCGAGCTTCCTCAAGCTCGAGCTCGAGCTGCCGGATACGCTCGTCCTTTTCGCGATCAGAAGGCTCAAAGCTGGTAACCTTTGCCTTGAGCTGGGCGACTTCTCGCAGCAGAATGGCAATCTGGTCAGATTGGTCTGACATGACCTTGTTTTGCTGCTCGAGTTGAGACTTGATGTCGCCTAGTGCGTCGCGGAGAGCAGACGCAGGGCCACCAGAGCTAGTCGCTGCGGCAGAAGTGGATGCAGCTGCAGGTGCGGCAGAGGGGCTAGCCGTTGTCGCAGACTTGGATTGAGTGGGGGTAGCAGTCTGACTGGAAGATGGTCTTGCCGGTTCAGGTTCCTTGGTCATGACAGGACCCCTAGTCTTTTCTTCTTGACGCGCAGCAGTAAAGTTACGGCGGTCTGCGGGCTTGGGAATCTCCTCGAAGCTGGATGCGCTCTCATCGTCGGAAACATTATCCTTGTCTGCGTACTTGGAAGCAGCAGAGGCCATGGAATCCTTGTTGTCCCTCGTCGAAGGTGGGGGCCCGCGGGAGGCTAGCGGCGCATGTGTGGGCTCGGGCGTGGCCTTGGGTTGCTCCGTCTTGACAGGCGCGGGATCGGCAGTTGTCGGCCTGGAAGGCTTGTAGTCGCTCTGCACTTCCTTGGGCGCATCACCCTCGTAAACGCTCTCGAGCGAAATCTTAGGGGGCATTGCCGTCTTGCCGCTGAACCATTCCTTGGCAGAAACGCCGGGCTTGAGGCCGTTGGTGGGTGGGTAGATGTCGCTCTGGAACATTTCTGATCGGCGGGGCACGATGAAGGATACGGGCTCGACGTAGGAATCGTTGACCGTCTTGAAGCAGCGAAGGACTTCGTTCTCGTGCAGGTTGATACCGCGCTTGGGAAGGAAGGCAATACCACGCTGGGGCTCGCCAGACTTGTACTCTGAGAGGTACTCAAACTTATCATTTTCGTATTCGTAGTAACGAATGTTGCCGTCACTGTCATGGTCAGCGGAAAAGTCAAAGAACGGTTGGAATACACATACCCCTTGCCAGCAAGGTACAAGCACTGGGTACCGTCATCCCAGAAAGGCATGCAGACACCAGAAATGGAGTCGAGAATCTGGAAGCCGCCAATGGGCTCAGAGGGGTTGCGCGGGTCCCAAAGACCAAGTTGACGGTCACTCATCTTGGAGAAACCAGTGGTTGCAATGCGGTCCGTCTCGCCCATCCATACAGCGCGGCTGTTCTTGGCGCCAGGGTGTCCGGGAACCTCCTGTGCAGGCCTTTCCTGACGCACATCCCACACGCGCAACTTCTTGTCTCGGCTGGTGGTGACGAGGAGCGATCCATCGGCGCTCCAGGACAGCGACTGGACAATGTCGTTGTGCCTGAGCGAGAGCTGGGGCGCGCCAGCCTCGACATCCCAGAGTTTGACAGTGAAGTCACCAGAGGCACTGGCGAGGACATTCTCAGCGGCGGTGTTGAAGAGAACATGGCCGACTTTCCTAAACAGGGGGTTAGGGCGTAGCTTTGAACGGAAGCGCTCAGTCGCACCTCATGTGGCCACTCAGCCTGGCAACAGGAGCAACATCAGCGGGCTCCTCAGCGTCGGTGTGCAGTGTAAAGCCCTCAGGCACCTTCCAGATGAAGACCTTGCCGTCGTCCGAGGCTGAGGAGATGAGCGAGTCATTGAAGGGAGACCTGTGGACGGTCAGTGCTGTGCATGACGATTCTTGTCTCGGACACGGTCGTACCAGTCGGTGTCGAGGACAGCGGCTGTGTGTCCGCGGAAGAGAGGCAGTTGGTCGGGAGCTCTGCCGCGCTCGTTGATGGGGATGACGGCAAAGGCACCGCCGCCGCTGGCCTCCCAGTTGACTGAGATGTATTCGGGGTTTGCCTAGAGGGCGTCAGAAGGCGTGTCGTTGTGGTCGCGTGGACATGTAGTGGGCTGACCTTGATCAGGTTGGTGTCCCAGGCATTCTTTGTGATGCGCAGATTATCATAGCATTGTTCCTGTGGAAGGGTCAGCATATATGTACATGAATATTGGGTGTTATAGCCAATGTACCTTCTTGGTGCCCTTGCCAAAGACATGGCCTGCATAGCTGTTGTTAGCATAACAAGCTGAGCTGGAGCTGGGCATCAACACTGACGGTACTTTGAGGCGCGCACGAATCGGCCTGCCATTGCGAAATGTTGGGGCCGGGGAGGTGGTGGTGGTAAGAATGAGGGACTCTCGGGCCTCGGGGTGGTTGAGTGAGCAGAAGAGGCGCTTTGCTTGAGAGGGGGAGAGGGAGGATGCAGGGCAGTGCAGTGAATGGGCTGGCGAGCGCGTGTTTCGCCCTGGAACGCAGTCGCCCGTCGTCAGCGTCTTGGCGGGTGGACCCTCATCATCCCTGGTCGCTCTACTTGTCCACCTCCACCGCGCTGCAGCCACCCCATGCAGCCAACGGTCGCTTCGCCCGCTGCCAACTGCATGTTCGCAGCATGATCCCCAGCTAGTCGGGCCCTGCTATACCCTCTGCCCTACCCAGGCTGTTTCGTTTGGCCGTCTGATGCCATGTGCCGGGTGTGACCCTGACTATCTTTGTTCTCGATGGGCTCCGGTCTGGCGTGTTCGAACATGCACACACCAGCAGCCGAGTCTTTGGGTTGATGCATGTGCTTCGACCAAGAGTTTGCATGCACTCGAGTGTGCAAAACAAATTCCTATCCATCAGCGTGCAGCCAGGGTGGAATCAACTTGGCGTCCACTGTGTATACAACACGACTGGACTTGTCTCATCTGGTACACCGCATATAGCATTCAGTGGCCCATATGGTTCGAGTACAGCTGCTACTTGAAGGATGTTGCACCTTTTACTGTCAAAAACCAAGGTTTGATTTCGTCAGTGTCTGTTGATGCAAACTGACCAGAATTGGCTATACATTTGAAGTATTCATCCAAATCCGTATCAGGGATTTCGGAGAGCTCTGGTCATTTGTTTACCGCCATTGACTCTAACATGTATAAAGATTAACAGAAGACCCCAGATTGATTATTGGCGAGCATGAAGATAAGACGACCGGTAAAGATTTCAGCCTCGCGTAGACAACTGACCAAATAGACGGAGAGTGTCAAGGGCCTTGATGCGGAAGCATGGGAATCAGAGGACTGCCCTAAATGGTTAGAGCGTTGGGCTAACACCTCCCTAGTCAGTGTAGCTTGGCAGGTACACAGTACATGCCTACACTACATCATACTTGGGTACGTATGTAGACAGCATCTGCCCATTCTGGTCAAGAAGCTCGAGATTTGGCTGGTGGCAGCCATGAATTACACACACGGGTATTCAATTTAAAAATTACTCCCGGTGGCATTGCAGAGGCGCAAATACAGCCAGCGTGTTATTAGTTTAATTCCCCAAGCAGCCGAAAACGTCAGACCTCGGCCCACGGAGATAGCGCCGCGATGAGTAGCAGCCACGACAAGAATGCGGAGACGCATAAACAGCTTTCTCTCTCTTTTTCACCTGATCCTGCCCATATTCTCTGACCGTCCAACCTACCATAGAACATATACCAACCATTTCCACCATGTCTGACGAGGAAAAGAAACCAGTCGACGCGCCCGACACAACCGACACAACCGACACAACCGACACGCCAGAGGCCAAGGAAGCTGTCGACAAGATCGCAGAGGCAGCGCCCCCCGCCCGCCCAAGCAGCATCAGCAAGACGGGCTTACTTGCGGGCGTCAAAAAGGCCGACGAGACTATCCTGAGGTTGAACAAGTAGGTCGCTGGTCGGTACTGTAACACGTGCATCATGAGCTAACGAGGGCAGACTGCTAGCTTCCCCAGGCGGCCTCTCCGCATTCCTCTCCACATTCAACTACACCCTCTACATCCTCGCCTACGCTCAGACAAAATCCCCCGCCGTCTCCGCCTTTGCCACAAAGTTGCTGTCCCTCATCCGCCCAGCATGCGATGACACAAAGATACCCGCCACCACCCTCGTCGACAATGGCACCGTCCCGCCCATTGCTGCCCTCGCCGTCCTCATCTCGAAGACGCGCACAACCCTCCGTCTGACGGGCACCCTGCCTCTCTACGCATGGCTGCGTTCCCTCGCCTCGGGCCCCAAGCCAGGCACAGACGTCGTCTTGCATAGAATCGCCACCCTCCAGGCCATGAGCTACTTTGCTTACCAACTGCTCGAAAACATTTCCCTTCTCGCCGACTCGGGCGTCGTCTCCCCCCGCGTCATCTCAGCACTCAACCGCGGCAACCCCAAGACTGCCCGTCTGTACCTCTACGCCTACCGCTGCTGGCTCGGCGGTGTCTCGTGCGACTTCCTCCGTCTGATGCGCGAGTGGCAGATTGAAGGCCGCAGGAGGCTCACCCGCCAGCAAATGGTTGCTGAGGGCAAGGCAATCGCAGAGTACCAGGACGAGGAGGACAAGAGATTTGACAAGAGGTGGTGGACCGACTTCGTCATTGCCAGCGCTTGGTTCCCCATGGCACTGCACTTTAGCAGTGCCAGCGGTGGTATACCCGGCTGGAACCTGGGCATCATGGGCGCTTGTGGTTTGATTGCTGGGAGCACGAGGATGAAGGCGCTATGGGCAAGTACCGCATAGACTTGCTCATCAGCATGGCTGATTGTCTGGGAATTGTTGGTGCAAGTCATTCCATTTTATAGTTGCTTAGAATTTGATTCGGCTGGATTATAGAGTTCACTTATTCGAATTTTTTTGCTATCTTTCAGCGTCCTTCCTATAAAAATACGCAGTTTCTCAATCATGTGCATTCTCCATCATATTTTGGGGCGTGCGTAAAAGATTGTACTCCTCACTTTTGTGTCTAAAATACACGGTTGCACTCTACTAGTTTTAAAATACATTTTCAGAATTAAATGCTCTCTCGTAAAAAAATTAGTCAAAGCAAAGGACTGATATTTTGACATGATTGTCAAGTCCTGAGCTAGATCCCCGTCACATTTAACAGCCCAATTAAAGCAAACATCCCAAGTACGCGGGCATCTTCTAAGAAGCTACTCGCATTACAGTAATAGCAGCTGACTGACTAAATAGCTAAGATCAATTACCACACGTACTCATCCCATAGTCACATTACATCCCGACCGCCAATTCACCACCAGGATATCAATCTAATTATGCAGATAATGGCACCATATGGTCCATTGACATAGATTGGAATTTATGAAGAAGAAGAAAAAAAGAAGAGAGACACGAAGTGCATGTAAGGGCTTTGCCATGCGTCCGGTAACTGTCATCATTTACTTATGATTTTAATCCCAAGTTTGGCGGGTGCAAGTTTAGCTATAATACAGACGGAATGCCAACTTCTATCAAATATCAATCTTCCATCGACATTAAGCAGTCGTATAGCAGTTTAATCCAGTAAATGTATTGCAACTAGAGAAATCCAACTATGTTTATATATAACTATTTTCAACTAAGTAAAGCAACATCTTCACAAAATGCCATCTCCAAAATTCACCTCACCTCCAATAGATATACAGTGATAATCAGCTTACCGGGTGATGTACCAAAAGTTTGGACAAACACAATCAATATTTGCACTATCAGCCCTCACACATTAGGGTTTCTTGTACCCAGCTACATAAGATATTGGGGTTTCCCTTGAGATGACAATACTCTGTATATCCCTGAGGTCCTGGTGTTGCAATTTGCATTTACCCAAGGACGAGGTATATAAATCTCAGCAGCAGTAGTATCCAAAAGGATTGTAACAACTCCACTTGCAACATCATGATGGCTTTTGCCGCCTTCGCATTCATCCCCAGCGTCATCGGATCACTCATCACCAACTCGACACTGGACAAGCAACTCAAGCCTCGCGCCGACGGATCCTTCTACTCCTTCTACTCCTTTTATTCCTCAGGCCCCAACGCCTTCACTTGCACCCATCTAGACGCCAGAAAAAATACACATGCAACTGGCTGGGCGATGCTGGCGGCGCTTTTCTTGCCAGAACGGGGGTATAGACCAGGAGAGGTGCTCGGTAATCGCGTCTACTTCCCACTTCTTCATCCTCTCTCTCTCTCTCTCTCCAAAAACTATGAAGAAAGAGATCTAAGAATAGGGGGCCGGGGGGGGGGGGGGTTGGTTTGCTGACAAGGGAAAATAGAGGGATTTCTTACAC